CCCCACCGGCTTGGTGGCCTTTGTTCCTCCTTCAACCTCTTCACTTTCAGGACCAAGATTTTGTTTCCTTCCAGGTCTCAGAGCCCCTCAACCAGCTTTCATGTGTCACCACAGGCAGGCCACCAAACCCCAGGTGGAGGACACTGAGGACTCTGATGAGGAGTGGACCCTGAGGCAGCAAGGTGAGGGGCCTGGAGAACTCAGAGGTGCCCTCCCAGAATGGACCTGGGTTTAGGTCAGGCTGCATCTCAGGAGTTACCAAGGGAACTGTGTTTGCTTGTTCAGCAAACAAGAAAGATGCAAAACTGTTATACAGTAAGGGGCTATTCATATAAACTCTTTAAATGTGTGAAAGAATTATATATTTTTATTGTTGACACTATTACAGAGGCCCCCATTCCCATATATATTTATATATATATTCAAAGCACACCCACGCCTTTGCCCCCCCCTTCTTCCCCCACAGCGTACATCTCCTAAATGCTAAACGACCCCAGGAGGTTTGCATGAGCATCAGCAGCTTGTTCCTGGATAACCCTCTGAACTGTCTCCAAGGCCCTTTCTCTGTGAATTTACAATGAGCCAAAGCAGCCCCGCCTAGGCTGATTTATTTCCTGTAACAATGAGCCAAGGAAGCCCAGATTAGGTCTCTCCTGTTGCTTCTTCTGTCCTAAACCCTTCCTTGTTTCTCTGTGCCCATCTTTAATAAACATACTCTCAAAATAAAAATAAATAGATAGCCCTGGCTGGGTGGGCCAGTCAGTTGTAGCATTCTTCCCTACACCAAAAAGATTGCAGGTTCTATCCTGGGTCAGGGCACATACCTAGGTTTTGGGTTTGATCCCCAATAGGGGTACATGCTGATCAATGTTTCTCTCTCACATCAATGTTTCTCTCCCCTTCCTTCCTCTCTCTCTAAAATAAATAAAAACATATCCTTGATTGAGGATTAAAAACAATAATAATAGCCCTGACCAGTTTGGCTCAGTGGTTAGAGCATCAGCCATGGACTGAAGGGTCCCAGGGTTCGATTCCAGCCAAGGGTAGGTACCTTGGTTGCAGGCTCGATCCCTGGCCCCAGTTGGAGTGTGTGCAGGAGACAACCAATCGATGTGTCCCTCTCACATAGATGTCTCTCTCTCTCTCTCTCTCTCTCTCTCTCTCTGAAAAGCAATGGAAAAAATATCCCCACATGAGGATTAAAAAGACAACAACAATAATAATAGACGCAGCGTGGAGGTGCAAGAGGGTATAGGGGGTATAAATGGTGATGGAAAAAATAAAAGAAAGAAGAATAAATAAATATATATTTATAGATAATTAATAAGCATTAAGTATATAAAATACAAAAGTGAGTAAGTGCTAACTAATTCAGAATAGCTGTCATCACAGAGGAGGAAGGTGTGGCAGGTGAGCGGTGCTCTAAGACCTGGCTGCCTGTTGGTTTGCATAGGGACATATGAGAAAAATTATTAATCATGGTGATTCAGGGGGTTGGGCTGTGGGCCAGGGTAGAGAGTAGTTCATCATTTAATCAGGTCCTGATGTCTGCCATGGAGTCATTCTGTCAACTTTCATGGAAGTGTGGGCAGTAAAGTCGTCCCTCTTTCACAGGTCTGGGGTTTAAACACAGCCGAAGTCAAGATGTTATCTCTAATTTGCCCAAAGCTCTGTGTCTATGGCCAACAGACCTGAGTCTTTGTTCCTAAGACTGTGTGATGCTTACCAGAATCTAATGATTAAGAAAGGGGGTGGACAGCCAGTACGTGCAAAGGTGGAAGGACAAGAAAGGAAGGAGGCAACGTAGTCATGGTGCCATTGGACTGGACAAGGCCAGTGTGAATCAAGAAGACAGAAAGGAGAAACAGAGTTTGTGAACGGTTATGTGGCCTTTATTACATTTGTTCAGCCTGCCTGTCTCTGCAGTGTGAGCTCTTTGAAAGGCTGATACTTCTAAGAAATCCCAGGCTCAGCTCAGGGTCCCTGAGGGTCCCCTGAATGTTTGCTGAATGAATGATTTCATATTTACAAATTAAACTAGAGGAAGGTCAATGAATACTAAAGATAATTAATGTGCAATTTCAAATATGGAGATGGCTGAGGGGTAAACTGATAAGAAGACTGTAATCTCACAGTCAGTATTAAATAGCTCACAAAACACTGTGGTGTGGACATCATTATATTTCATGTTCACTATAACATTAAGAATTAGCATGCGCCCAGCCGGGCATGGCTCAGTGGTTGAGCGTCGACCTAGGATCCAGGCGATCAGGGTTCGATTCCCGGTCAGGGCACATGCCCGGGTTGCAGGCTCGATCAATGACTCTCTCATCATTGATGTTTCTATCTCTCTCTCCCTCTCCTTTCCTCTCTGAAATCAATAAAGATATATTTTAAAAAAGAAAAAGAAAAAAAGAATTCGCATGTTATAGATCAGGAAACTGAAGAGAACTAGCTAGTGATACAACCTTACTCAAACATAATTGATGGGAGCCAGCTAAACTAATCACAAATATTCTTTCCAAGATACAACAATTTGCAAATTTCAACACCATTTTCTTTATTGTTTAGAAATGTTTCTGCCAACTATTTCTTTTTTCTCTCCCTAATACCCCTCACTTTCACTATTATAGATAAAGCTAAAAGGAAAGAGCCTTAAGGCATAGGTTCTAATCTTGGATTCACTACCCACAATGGCCCTTTCTTTTCCCTCTAATACTCATACTCCCCAGGTATTTCCAAGGGTTGTCGAAGTATTGATTAAAGTCATGCATCTAAAATATATCATAAGTCCTAAAGAATTAAAGAAATGAATGTTGTCTCTTTTAACATGCAACTTTTACATTGCAGGCAATATCCAGGGCACCATTAAGTAATGATTCCAGTTTGAAGGAATTGTCAGGAACAGCAAATCTGCTGACCACAAGCGGTTCAGAGCCANACTTTTACATTGCAGGCAATGTCCAGGGCACCATTAAGTAATGATTCCAGTTTGAAGGAATTGTCAGGAACAGCAAATCTGCTGACCACAAGTGGTTCAGAGCCGGCCCAGAAACCAGTGTCCCCTCCTGGGGAAGCAAGTACCTCTGGACAGCACTCTAGACCAAAATTGGGTAAGAGAAAATAATTTGGAGGTTTCAGTTCCACTAAGTCCTCTAGAAAGGCTGATAAGTATGGCTTATGTATGTGGGGTAGACTGCATAGGCCTGGATTGAAGCTGGACTAAGCTGAGACAGAAGGTAGCACTGGAACTTTGGGCAAATCTTATAAACTCTGAGCTCCTGAATGCTCATGTGTAAAGGGAACATAAGGATACATAACTCATATATTGTTTGAGAGCATTACATTATATTTAAAGTAACTGACACATGCAAGTTGTCCAATAAATTCATCTGTGATAATAGCAACCATGCTTTCTTCGTGTTGTATACCCAAGCCTTTACTCAATGCCTAACCCATAATGTGCCCTCAATAAATATTTTATGAATGAGTAAAGATTGGGAAAGATTTTCCCTGATAATGGGAAAATCTAGAAAGTAAAATTGAGTCAGCCTTCGGTAGTCTTTGCGGAGTCTTAGTCTCTCTTAGTTAACAGAGGAAAATACGAGAGTATGTAGAAAAACAGGTAATAATTTAATGGGAGGAGATTGTGTGTTTTCTGACGAAACAGGGACCAGCCTCATTCACCTGTTCTTCTCCAACTTAGAACTCAGGAGGAAGGGGATAGAAATGCAGACGTACAGCCTACGAGAAAGAAAGGGCCATGTGTACCAAGAGGTCAGCGAACCCCAGGACGACGACTCTCTGTAAGTGACCCTCACCAAGAAGCATGTTATATCTTCATACAATAATTTCATCTGGTGATTGGGTCTCCAAATCAGTCCCTTCCTCTAGTGACCTGGAGTACAGGATTGAGGCTCAATTATGTGAGTGCCTGGGTTCTCTCTGAAGCTCTTTATGTCCAGGAACATGCACTATACTTTTCCTTACCCCTGTTCCTCTTGCCTCCAGATTGTGAGAAGTGTCAGAACTTCTTCATTGACAGCTGTGCTGTGCTTGGGCCCCCTATATTTGTAAAAGACAGTGCAGTGGACAAGGGGCACCCCAACCGCTCAGCCTTCACTCTGCCCCCTGGGTTGAAAATCAGACTGTCAGGCATCTCTGAGGCTGGGCTTGGAGTGTTGAACAAGGAGTCGGATCTGCCGGTGGGTCTGCACTTTGGCCCTTATGAGGGCCAGATCACAGAAGATGAAGATGCAGCCAACAGCAGATACTCCTGGCTAGTGAGACGTGTTTACCTCTTCCTCTGTCCTCTGCCTTCACACATCCCTCCTGTGGCTTGGTGGGAGCCCACCTTCTACATGGTAGATCATGGGTGGGCATAATATGGTTAGCTCTGTGTACTGAGTGGAGTTTGTATGAACAGGGAACTCCTGTTTAAGGATCAGACAGTGAGTGGGAGCAAGGTGGTACAGACACAAAGGAGTGGCTCCTCCCTGTGAGACTCCTGCTCTGAGTGGACAAATGGACTCAGACATGTAGATGGTGTGTAAGAAAAATATCGTGTGGTCGCCAGCGACAGTTGAATCCCCAGGCAGGCTGAAGAAACCCTAACCCTAACCCTAGCAACCCTAACAGTAGCCCTAGCCCTAGCCCTAGCCCTAGGCCTAGCCCCAGCCCTAGCCCCAGCCCTAGCTCTAAATCTAGCCATCGCCCTCACCCTCGCCCATTTCAAAGAATGGATGAATGAATTTGTTAGTCTTTTGCCAGTATGTCCCAGTCCTTAAGGTTTTAAGAGTGACTGTCCTTACTTTACAATTAGTCTTTATAGGGCCACAGGTGTGGCTCCAAAATATCCAAGCCCACCAAATCTTTTTACCTCCCCAAACCTCCTGAGTTCCTCAGAATGCACATAGATAATTGTCTTTATGAAGATAATCTTTTAAAATACTAAAATAAAATACAAGTTTCTGGGAGGTGAGCCTTTTTGAAAGGAAAAAAAAAGAAAAAGGAGAACCTTAGCCATCTATGTAAATCAATTTAACTTATTTCAACTATTCCTTTTTAAATTTCAAGCTGTTGATGTAATGTCTTATAATTTGTGGGAGGTGTGCTTTTTGAAACTGAGAGTATGTTTGAAATGTGTTCATAAAACTCAATCTAAAGAGTAGCAATTGCTTACTTTAGAGGGGTCACTAAATGTCAAAAGTTTTAAAGAGTTAAGAATTTTAATGAATTGGAAAGAAATTGTATGCTTTGGGTAAGAGAAGGTATAAGGTATGGAAACATATTTTCAAGGGAAAAATAAAGTGAGTTGTTCTAAAGCTGGTTGTTTCAGAATGGGTAAAAAGGTCTGAACTTAATAACACACTCAAAGAATATAAAAAAGACTTACAAGGAAAAAAAGACACATTTATAATCATAATAGATTTAACACACCTCTCATTCAGGGGCAGAGCCTACCTCTTTCAGAACCAATAGACGCCCACTAAAAATACAATAAGGATGTAAGAAACTTCAATAACATGACCTGCAAATGGAGTTCAACATTCCCAGATAATCCACTCTACCCAACAGCTTTCCTTGAGCTCCTGAGCCAGGGTGTTATTGCCAAGCTGCCCACGAGACGGCAGCATTCAACATGCAGGTGATGCGCTCTACCCAGCAGCCTTTCCTGAGCACCTGCGCCAGGGTGTTATTCCCAAGGTGTCCACAAGACGGCAGCATTCAACATGCAGGCGATTCCCTCTACCCAGGATATTTTCCTGAGCTCCTGAGACAGGGTGTTATTCCCAAGGTGCCCAGGAGATGGCAGCAGAGAAACACGCTTGGAATCTTCTCTAAAGTGACCCTGACCAGGCCGCAGAGGGAGCATAACAAAGGCGCTACACCTTCTGCGCCCCAAGGATCATGATCCCGAGAACTGAATCTGACCGGGGCCTCCCGGATGCAGATGCGCAGGGAAAGCTGTTGGCCGTGGGGCTCCCCGACTCTATCCCCACTTCACGGACAGAGGCTGAGGCCTATGAAGGCAGCCAGTTCGCAGCCAGCTCCGTCAGGAACCTCGGTGTCCAGCCTCTGGGCCCCAAAGATGCGACGTGAGGCCGGGCGCCAAGCAACACCACGTGGGCTAAGATGTCACGTGGGCTAAGATGTCACATTGGCATGATACTGGTGGGGGCAGAGATGTGGATGATACTCTGTTAACCGTGATTGTGACATGGGGAGGGTACCTAATAGGAACAGGACCCTCTTTGTTTAATGATGATTCACCTTACTGACTATAAAGGATTTTCCTACAGACCCCAGGAAACTGCCGGATGTGCTACGGCGCAGCCCACATCAAGCCCACCGAATAAACTTCACTTCAGCCTCAGAACATGTCCCAGTGGCTGCCAGGGCAAGAGGGTTTAAAGGTCACTTCCACAGCGAGGAGACATTAACTAGGCTGCAATGACAGAGGAGTTGGCATGTCATCGGCAGCCCGTCAGGGTAGTGTGGTTGGTTAGAGGTACCTCCTGACTAGGACAAGGTTGCAGGTTCAGTCCCCATCAGGGCACATAGAAGAATCAACCAATGGGTGTGCGTCGCGGAAGAAGACCCTGGCTGGGGCCTCAGGACAAGGCCTGTGGCCCTCGAAGTCCCCCAAGTTACAGGAGCTGCTGTTACCACAATGCCAACCGCACCAGCACCAATGGCTCAGGGAGCTGAGTGCGCCCGAGGCGCCGAGGCCACCACCCCCTCCCCAGGGAAGAGGGCCTGCAACCACAGACCTGACAGCTTCACCACCCCCAAAGCCCCGGCCTTGATGCTCAGACTAGGCGAGTGCCGTGGAGAAAATAAAATGAGGACTGAGGTGAAGGAGGAAATTGCCAGATAGAAAACTCCTCCCACCTTAAGATGGGAATGACTTTGGAAGAGAAAGGAAAGCATCATCGGGAAGTTGCGACTCGAAGGCATCCTTGGCAGACCTGGAGACGGACGAAAGCGTCCTGATGAGGAGACAGAAGCAGATTCACTGCAGGAAGAACACCATGGCCTACGACAGAAGCATTAGAGGTCCCGAGGCACCTTCCAAACATGGCATGGGCCAGAGAGCCCACAGGCCTTCTCATCACAACCCCCCAGGGAACTCAGGAAATCTCCAGTTTTCATCAGGACATAGCTCTGTAACTTGTGTTGAATGGCCGAATGTCCACACCTGCTTTCCCAGGACACTGGCCTGGCTCTGAGAGGTAGCTCAGCTCAGGCTTCCCCCTGAAAGCCCAAGGAGCATCCTAGCTCCCCAGAAGGAATCACTGCAAGCCTGGCTGTCAGCCCACTGTGCCTGGAAAACCAACACAGCATTACACAGGCAGGTGCCCTCTGCCTGACTCCCCCTCCCCCCAGACAACCTTGCTCCCCACTCCACTGCCCCCAGCTCCCATTCCACTGACGTCCAGCCTCAAGGCCTCACGCCCTGTGTTCATCTTTGGCCACCTGATTCACTCCAGGAGTTAGGAAGGAAACCCACACTACCTCCTAGGAAAGCCTCACTTGGCTGCATGTCAGGGGCTTGCTCAGATCCACAACAGTCACAGGGCTGGGAAAGGTAGACGGGGCAGGTGTGGAAATTCCTCACCACACTCCTCGGTTCCTCCTGTCTGCAGCCCCCTGGACTGTTGTCTTAGCCCCATGGCCAGTCCACAGCACCCAGGATACCCACGGCCCTCCCAAGCCCCTTTAAGACTACCATCTGGATATGAATCCAGGATCTTTATGCTGCTCAGAAACTCTGACAGCCTTTATCTGGGGAAAGAAAATGCCAGAAAGAGGCTGCAGGAAAATCCCAGGACAATCTCAGGGAAGAGGCCTGAGCACCATCCACGGGACAGATGTCCTCTCTGCCCTCACACTTCTGGATGTTCATTGGTCTGAGGGAAAAACCACCCTCTTCTTTTTGGGAAATGCTGGCTGGGAAAAGCTGTGGTTTCCAGAAACAGGTAAGCAAAGGGCTTTATGGGCACTGTCTTGGTGGGCATCTGTAAACCAGGTAAGACTCCCTACATAGCCTGTGGATAGTGTTGCCTGAGACACAAGGCTTTGCTGCCTTACCTCTGAGGGAAGACACATTCCGGAGCCTGAGGTGGGGGCTGTGTCACCAGGAAGCTGCCCGCCTGTGTGCCTGCCTGGCTAATGCCGGTGCCCGGACCCTCCTCCCGGTATGTGCCCTGGGGGTGCTGCTGGGTGGGTCCGTGCATCCTGCACACAAGGAATGTCCACAGCCCAATGTGGGGGAGATGGGGCCCGGCTCACATGCAGCACAACCAAGGCAGAGCCTGGAATTCTCTTAAAATATAGAACTGTTGAAATAAAATATTGGAAGACAGGGTTTAAGAAACACCCTCAAAAGCATGTACAATAACAAAAAAAGAAGATCTAAGAAATGAGGTAACCATTTTGGAAGACTGGTCTGGGATTTCCAACATCCACATAACATCTGTGCTCAAGAGAGAGACCCGAGAACATGGAGGGAAGAGATCATCAAAGAGACTATCGAGTAAGATAACCAAACAATGCGCAGAGCTTAAAGGAGACCTTAATGTCTTATTTAAACTCAAAGGCTTAGCACAAAGGTGAATTAAAAAGACTCTTACCTAGGACTTAAAACTCAAAACATAACCCTCCTTTTCAGCTTTAGCCATTCACGGTGGATGGAATATAAAACAAAGAGTAACCAGTGAACTAACAAAAACAATCCAACTCATAAGTACAGGCCCCAGAATAGTGGTTACTGGGAGACAGGGGCGGAGGAGGGAGAATTGGGTAAAGGGCTCAAAATATAGGGTAACAGCCCAGCTGGCGTGACTCAGTGGTTGAGCGTCAACCTATGAACCAGGAGGTCAGAGGTTCCATGCCCAGTTAGGGCACATGCCTGGGTTTCGGGCTTGATCCCCAGTAAGGGGTGTGCAGGAGGCAGCCCATCAGTGACTTTCTCTCATCATTGGTGTTTCTCTCTCCCCCTCCCCCCTCCCTTCCTCTCTCTGAAGTCAATAAAAACATATTTAAAAAAATATATATATATATATATATACACACACACACACAAAGAAGGTTAAGCATACAACTGAGTATACAGATACCAAATTATGATGAACAGTACCTGCCAATTACGTGATGTTAGTAACCAATGTTACCTCCATAACTTTAATCTTTTCAAGAGCTCCAATAAAGGAATTGCAGGTGACCTGCAGAAAAGGAAACGTCTGAGTGACGTGTGACTTATCAAGGACCCTGGCTGCCGCAGTGATACGGGGCCTTCAGGTTTAANCTTGTGACTTATCAAGGACACTGGCTGCCGCAGTGATACGGAGCTTTCAGGTTTCTAGTGGGAAAAGTATTTTAAACTCTGAATT